GCTTTCCAAGCCATAACCTCATCACTGTCCAGGGTGAACTGTTAGGGGGGTTGGGGATCTCGGGTTGTCCTCCGATTCGCCTCAAAGCCTTGGCCGCCACGCGAGGAGAAGGTTATCGCGGCCGGTTCGCAGCCTCGGCCGCTCGGAAGCCTGACCGAAACCAGACCAGCACGCTGACCGGTCGGGCCTGGATTGCGCCCAAAGTTCCAACCACAAAGAAAAGGCTGTAGGCCTCAGATGTGCGGGGACCTCCTTCGCCCTCAACCAGAGTCTGGAAGGGGGTGCAGAACGGACGCCGTGGGGTGATCCGCTTTTGGCTTCAGATTCCGCGACCGGTCTGGACCTTGGGACACCTTCAGGAACTTTGGGACTGAAGGGTGAAGAGGCGATCTACACTCGGACTGACTAACATCAAGGTGGAAAATCCTTTGTTTGTACAGGAAAGTAGTCTTCCTTTCGGCGCCATGTTCCACTTCCATGTGATGTGTTCGTCAGAGTGTTTTTCGCGATCTGCGGTGGATGGTTCCCAAAGTCTACCAGAACCCAAGAACCTGAGAGTTCTGAATCTCCTTTATACCAGGAGTCACCAGGTCTGGGGTGGTGTTTAGTCCCATCCAGTGAGCGAATGTGAGCCCAGTCACCCCGACTTCCGTATCCTCCAAGTTCGGCACCCAGTCTGGTGATCTGCTGGTTGTCTGGTGGTCTTTTTAGGAGGGAGCGATGTATTCATGCATCTCAGGATAAGGGATTTGACTGCGGCTCAAGCATGGGCTACACCAGATACCCCCAAAACCGATGGGTCCAAAAAGAATCGTGATGAAGCCAAACCCATGCAAACACTGCAGTCCCCCGAAACATCTGTTGATATTTAGCGCCCAAAGAACCCTTCTTGAAGTCCCTCTTCGACGCAGTCAGGCCACCGATCCCTGTGGCTGTCCGAGTGGCCGCGTAGAGATTGCCAGCGGATCCCAGGAAGACCAAAAGCCCGGCATGTAACCCCACCATGTTCCTGGTCGAAAAAAGAACGGACTTGGGTGTGAGGGCAGAAAAATAGAAACGGCCAAGTGATGACTGGAAGATAGCAGGAAAAGAACCTGGAGTCTTAAAAGCATTTCAAGAAGTTGTATACTGTCTCACGTTATTTCCGGCATCTTCACAAAGCATCGAGTCATCGACTCATCCTCAAGCACATCGAAAGACCAGTCAAAGACTATCACAAGCTCATCTGCATTGCCAGTGAACTTTTCAGGGGAAACAACTCTCACAGTTCACTGACCCCTGCAGAGTTGCGCCATGAATTCACCACGTCCCAGATCTCCAGTTCCCTCGTCTGCACACTGGACTTCGAAGAGTATTACCCTACACCTCCAAGTACCTCAGGTTCGGTATGACTGGACCCTCCTAGCACCCACCCCAGTCCCACCTTCTCAGAAGGTACGACTGGAGGCCTAGCGTTCTATACCTGCTCATGATCCGCTCCGAGGCGCAAGGCGAAAATATATCCTCCCCAGGAGGCCGCCATGAAGCTATAGGAGACCCTGCAGGGGCGGTGAGAACACCCCGGAACCCGTGATCGCTTCGGAAGTACTTCGACCGCGCGGGGGGGGGGGGCGAAGGAAACATGCGCCGTGTTGCGATTGGACTCAAGGGGAACCTGGATCGCCAGCCGATCCAGTTCCCTGAAAGGGCGGTTTTTTGGGAGTCAGGAAAACCGAAAAAAGGCGAAGCCGACCACATGCACATGCATATGTTGGACAAACAATATGCATATCGAACAAGTGCAATTGATTGCAGGTTCCACATACCCGCCAAATGATCGGCTCTCTGTTTATATTCAATTCGCGGTGCCCAGTTCACAAAAGGCTTACCGTCCATAGTAACCCGCCCCCAAACTCCCTCCATCACAGAGATGGACTGCTCCAGTCCCCCGCGCGGGGCGCGAGCGCCGCGAGGGGCGCGGCGCGGAGCCGAGGGGCGCGGCGCAGAAGCTCCACGGCCAGGAGAGTCCCGGTCGCAGGGCGCGGCACCAAAAGGCAAAGGTGGCCACCATGGGGCCGATGGCCACTGCCTCGTTGTCGAAACCTGCACAGGGGAGGGGGCAGTGGGCCCGGTTGGGGTGAGTGAGCAGTGGGAGGTGGGAAAGCAAGAACATATGCTGAAAGATCGCGGAGATGGCAAGTTGCTAGAAGCTATAGGGCGTTTGAAAAGAGCAGGAGAGCATTGACAGGTTCGAAATGTATCTTTTTTGACTATCCACCGTCTCATGAAGAGAATCAACAGTGGATTGATGTGGACCATATGATAATGATATAGCATCCCTAAGGATCCAGTCGTACCCTCGTTTCGAAGGTGGGACTGGGGTGGGTGCCAGGAGGGTCCAGTCGTACCGAACCTACTATAGGGCATGTCATACTGAGATGAATTCATACATCCAGAGTTCCAATCGGCTCCCAGACTCGCACCGGCAGCAACCCTTGAGGGAGAAAGGTGCAGCAGTACTCGCGCCTCCAGTTTGTTTCGCTTTTTCATGGGGCTCGGCTCTTGGACTTGTCACTACCTAAAAATGGTCCATGAGCCATTGCAGGAGGATTCATTCGATTCTTGGAATTCCTGTGGTGCAAGT